ATTAATTAAATTTATAATTACTTGTCACATATATTTTCTTTAATCCTGCCACTCGTGAAGTTGTATGAATGTTATGTAAATATGCTAAGGTTTACAGTGTATTTCTACAAGTCATTTTCATTAACAATACGTGCAATACTCAATGCGACTTTTAAACTTAATTTTCTCGGAAATGAAGAAGCCTCAGAAAAAGTTTATTCTTAAGTTTCCATTTTTTTGTATAAAAAATTCCTTCAGTCCATTGTATTATGGATCCCTACTCTAATAAATTTATATTTTTTATAAAATTGAATAAGTGTTAAAAATACTTTTTAATATTAATTTAAGAATAAAATCTTTCACTAGGGTAAAATTTTATATATACTATTGTATAATGTATGAAGATATCGAAAAAAGTAATTTCGGATTGATGTACAACTGCTCCTATTATTCCGTAGATCGATTTGTGTGCTGAAGAATTGCATAATTCTGTACTATCTGCCGTCGCTATTCAATCAGATATTGCACCTGCAACAGAATATCTGTCAAATGCATTGAGAAATAAAAAATGGCGCATTGACCAAAATCATCCGTGGTGGAAGGAGCTCATAGCGAAAGCCGAACAGAATAAGCAGTCAGTTCATGTGAGCCCTGTCTTAATTATTAATTGAAGATTCTTTCTTTGTATGATCAATTTGCATACTTTCTTTTATTAACTTTCGTTTATAGCGAATGTCGATGGATACTAGTGTGCCATTGAATTATTACACCGTATTTAAGCATATTCAAGATGTTATACCAAAAGGTGAATATATCTTCTTGAATATATCACTTAGATATATACGTTTATTAAAATTGTAGAAGTATCTGTTTTTTATCGTAGAAAAGATATCATAAGCATATATTTTATATTAGCAATTAACAATTAGAAAAAAGAATCCACAATAAAAATTTCTTTCTTATGTATTGATTTGCATCAGTTAAAAAAATTACGTGCGCTTAATATTATATTATACAAATGATTATATAATATTATATCTACAATAATATTAGATCTATAAAGTATAAATTGTATAATTCTATAATTATAATATTTTTTCATATATACAGACTGCATCATTTGTTCCGAGGGAGCTAATACAATGGACATCGGACGAACCATTCTCTTGAACAATCAGCCTCGCCATAGACTAGACGCCGGTACGTTTGGCACTATGGGTGTAGGGCTTGGATTTGCAATCGCAGCTTCTCTTTATTGCAAAGATAATGCGCCGAAAAAAAGAGTAATTTGTGTGGAAGGAGACAGCGCCTTCGGATTCTCCGGCATGGAGATCGAAACCATGTTTCGGTAACGTAATAAGCTATTGCCTGGAACTAAAAACGATTGTTATTCGAAACTAATTCTTTAATGCAATTTTATTAATACGATCATTCGACGTAAATAAGTTAAAAAACAAAAATGCTATTAAACATCGCGGTGCATTTCGGAGATGTTAACAAAAAGTCATTTTTTAAATTATTTTTAATACATCTCGATGCAAAACGATGCAGAATACAAAAAAATTTTAAGAGAACTTTTTTGTAGAAAATTAAATTAATTTCCTATCAATTAAGTATATAAAAAAATGGTTTTCAATATCAAACTCAAAATAGAAGAAGAAAACGAAAGAAAAAAATAACGAAAATTTGCAAAAATTTTCAATTTTTACTTTTTTGAATAATAACTTTTTTTCTATCAGTCCAAACGATTTTGTCATTATTAGAGAAAAAAAGTAGACATTGTAACGAAAAAGTGAGAAGTCAAACAAGAGTTTTTTGATCACTGGTAACCGAGATATCGTTAATGCAAGTTGGTCGTTTCCAATCGATTTTTCAATATCTTGAATTTATTCTAATTTTATGTTATTGAAACTTTCTTTTATTACAATCTTTCATCAATCAAAACCAATGTATTTCAAACTAAAAAAAATATATATTTTACTTAATTACATTTTACGTAATAGAATTTATCTTAATTATACGCTATATCATAAAACAGAAATTTATTTTTAATGTGCAGGTAATAAAAAGAAAAATTAAAAAATTAATGATGAATTATAATGCAGTTTGTAACTGCAGTTGTGCTCATAAATATGAAATGAAATTTCTGAGGCCGTCTGTAAAATATTAAGGAGTATCAAGGGATCAATTACAAACATTGGAAGCTGAGAAAAACGATTTAAACGCTGATGGACAATAAAATTTACGTTGATATTGAGAATTGTATGATTATATTACAATAATTGACTTTTATTGAAAATGATATTAAAATTGGTTTCTATAACATTCTATAGCACACAATTAATTGATTATTTATTATTTACATATCGAATGATCGTATGAATCAATAAAATTACATTAAGAAATCAGTTTCTTTTAAAATCCTCCAGGCAATAGACTATCTCGATAGAATTATTAAGATAAGAAAAGTTTTGTTTCACGAGCGAAGAATATAATATCTATCCTTTCTTTTCAGTTATAAACTACCGGTGATTATTATAATCGTAAATAATAATGGCATATATAGCGGTTTCGATAACGAAACTTTCAAACAGATACAGGCGTCCGGAGATCCTACGCAAGTGTACGCATTTCCCTACATAATCTTAATATAAAAAATTATGTTTTAAATATTTAAATAATTTAACTTAAGGTTCACTGCAATCATCTGGATTATGACGTTAAAAGCAAGGAAAATACACAAAGAAAATTCTTGCAAGCTGTCATATATTTAAATATATAATTAAAATATATATTTTAATAAAATATTTGCAATTGATGGAATAGATTTATAAAATATATCAAAAATTTCCTTTATGTTACAGTAATAAAAAAAATATATTTGATTGAATTATGCTTAACCAGAAAATGAAACAATCTTCTATATATTTATGTGATGTATTTATGAAATTGTCGAATATTAAGATAATATGATTTTATTCTATTTCGAAATAAAAAGAGTTTTCGGTATATTTTTTAAGTGTATTCTATCAAATGCAAATATTGTTTTATTGAAAAATATTTCTATTTTAATATATTTCGCAAGAATTTTGATTACATATTTTCTCCGTTTTTGACATTATTAATCTATAAGTGGTTAGAAGCTTTAAAAGATATATAATTATAAGACGTTTTATAGATAATTAATTATATTTCATTTTAATTTTATTTTAGATATTTTCGACTTTATTAGTTTGTCTCATATATTAATTGTTTGCAAACCCAGATACTTTCACATTGATTATTAAAATTACATTTTTAGGACACCTCCATATTCATTAACATCTGAAACTCATTATGAGAAATTAATGGAAATGTTTGACAAGAAAGGACATTTTTGTACTACTGTGGAGGACATTCAGCAGGCATTGAAATTATCTCTCAAGGTAAGATTGTTATTAAAATAAGATCGTTATTCCTTTAAAAATTGAAAAGAAATGCTTACATGCTAAAATATCGTTTCAGGTAGTGGACAGTCCCAGTTTAATAAACATCATGATTAACCCGCAAGCAGATCGTAAGAAGCAACAATTCAACTGGCTAACAGAATCAAAATTATAGACGTGCTATAACCAAAACAGAAAATATCTATAATTTTGCTCCAATATTTTTTTTCTCAGAAAATCATTTTTTAGAGATCTTTAATTAACTTTGTTATTCATATAGTTTTTATCGTAATTACTTGCGTAGTGTTTCTGACATTATTTCTCAATTTTCATTGTTTTCTTGGATAATTTACAATCGAAAAAAATTGATAATATTTTATTACATTCTTTAGATAAAGATAAATGCAAATTTTTTTATTGTAAAACAATTTGCGCTAAATGTAATAATGTGTATAAGTTATAGCGTCCATATACATTTAGAATTTATAAGGATGAGATATTTTGAACAGTCCACGCAAGTAATATGATGGGTCAGCATAATTATAGATATTAGATAAAGTTTTTTGAGTCTGTCATGTGAATACACAACTGAAGAATGATGGTCTGAGCTGAATCTTAAGTACTTAAATAATTCGGTGTTAATTACATACATATACACGCACACGCGCGCACGCACGCGCGTGCGCATCCACTTATCCACCCACCCCAGGCGTGATTTGAACCTGGATCTTCCGAATTCCATGGGTCTCAAAAGATATTTTGTTTAATATTATTTATACACGCTGTTTTTTCATGCATAATTTCTTTATATATAACGATTGAAGTAATATTTTTTGCAATAAAATTATGTACAGATTATTTTTAAGATTTAATTATTCTTGAGATGCTTATCGGCATGAAATTATTAATATCCTTCTAACATGCCTATTAGCAAAATATTACTAAAATTGCTTGTCAATTTAATTTGTAATATTACTAATTTAGTTCTGCTTATGATTTTAAGAA